AGATGGGGCAGGAAGCTTCTAAGAGCTAGAGAATGGGGAGCAGTGTTGTGAAACTGTGTGTTCTTGATATGACATGACTGTTGCAATCATGAGCACACAGTAGTTGTGTCTGACTGCATAAATCCTGTGAAAAAATATGACTAATGTATAAGGGGACCAGTGGGGAAGAAGAAAGAGATCAGCAGGAAGCAGGACTGAGATGGTGAAAAGATGTGTTAATGGGGGTTGAATATAATCACAATACATTGCATACATGTATGATATTGTCAAAAATAAAAAAGGAAATAGTACAGTATCAATAATTTATGAGGATCTGGAGCCATTGTATCACTCATACATCGATTGTTGGTAAACAAAATGGTCCAGGGTCTATGAAAACAAATTTAAAAGATTTTGTAAAATTAAACCCACATTTTTCTTATGATCAAGTGACTCCTGGATATTTCACTATAAGACATAAATCACATATCTTTGTGAGAGAATGTGCCCATTTGTTACATTAACTTTTCCTGTTCAGATATAAAGAAATGTGTACTCATCCAAAATAGCGAACCAATGACACATCAAAGAAAAGTTTCCATGAAAGTCAGTTCGGCAAACCAGTGAGTGTGTGTGTGTGTGTGTGTGTGTGTGTGTGTGTGTGTGTGTGTGTGTGTGTGTGTGTTTTCTTTATGGCTCACTCACAGAGTATTGATGACTCAAAGACAACTTCATTGCTGCGAAGTTGTACCCCATAATGGATAATGACATCATGGGAATTGCATAATGGGCCCCTTTTCAGTTAACCTCCTACTTCCTCTGTACTCTAATATCCCCCGATATTACTTGTAGCTTGGGGAAGACAGGAAGGAATTATAGCTGGAATGCCAGGTGAAGGTCCTTTGATTCTTTCCTCAGTCTTCTAACAAGTGTCAATAACTCCATTACCATTAGCATATATTTTGGGTAGCTTGGAATGTTAGGTCCCCACTCAGACAAGAGGGAGGTTTCATTCTCTTGGACAGAAGGAAAGATATTTCCTCACAGAACCTTAATCAAAGGAAGCCACTGTAAAAACAGGACAAAATTGTAGTGATGAAGATTAGATATTCGTTGTCAGAGGTTAAGGTTTGGAGAAGAAAAAGTGTGACTTAAATGCATAAGTAAAGATGTTCAGTGTGGTGTAGTTTCCCATCCTGATTGTAGTAGGGGCTACATGAATGAATGAATGTTGGATTAAATATCAACATTATTATGAATTGTGTTAGTTGATGCTTTATCACCCTCACAAAATACCTGAAGAATAATTTATTTGGACTTATGATTTCAGCCCATGGTTATCTGCTTCCATTAATGGGGAGAAAGAATAACAGAATATGCTGGACAATGAAGCTGCTTCCCACATAATGGTAGGGAAAAGAGAAAGATTAAGGGGAAGGGCACAACCACAGAGACGTAATTTCTCCAACTAGGGCTTGCCTCCTAGTTTCTTTTACTTTCTAATAATGGCATCTAATATTGAAACAACCAGTGGATTAATCTACCTATTTTGTCAGAGCTATCATGATTCAATCCTGTGTCCTTATACTATTGAAACTGATGAAGGTATATTACTTGCAAGCAGTCCTTTTAAATATGGAATCCAAACATGTCAGGGAAAATGCACTTTAAATATAAATATAATTTCTTCTCTTAAAATATAATCTGAAACTTTTTTTTAAGAAAGCCTTTTAAGTTGTGTCAGTATACATAGTATAATGCTTAGATTTCAATTATTCCACAATTTATCAATGGAGGTTTTAAACTTACTTAAAACTAGAATTTTAATAGAATTAGGGAACTATTCAGCCAATGTTACAAAACAACATCCTAGAAAACAACATCCTAGAGCGTGCAATTATTTTTGTTATTATCATGATTAATTTTATGTCAACTTGATTGGACCATGGTATGTTCATATATTTAGTTAAACATTATTCTGTATCTTTGAACAAGAGTAACTTCAGGAGCTATAAGGAAGAGGAAGCAGAAAGATTGTGAGAGCCAGAAGGGATGGATGACACCAAGGAAACTGTCTTCAAGAAACAATGTGACTGACACACATATGAACTCAAAGAGACTGTGCGCATAAGACAGGGTCAAACCACATAGGGTCTCAGTGCTGAGAGGGGGAAGTAGACAAGAACTCCCATCCTTAAGCAAGAAGCTATCTCACATTAATATCTACTTGCAAAGGAAAATTAGTTTTCTTCAATGGAATCTCCAGGTGTATTAACTGTACATAAGTGTGGTATTGGTGAAAGTATTAAAGGAACTCCACGTAGTTAAAAGGGAGGCTTATTTGGGGGTTTTACTCACAAGTAAAGGGATAAGTTACAGGGTCCAGGAGAGGTGAAGTGCAGTCTAGCGGTGTTCTCTGGAGAACTCTGTTCAGTCTACCATCCAACATCCTGAATCACCAGGAACAAAGAGAGCCTGCACATCTGGATCTCTGGTCTTAAAGGCTCCTGTCTCAGCCCCACCTCAGGGGCAGGCCATAGGTAGGCGTGACAGTTACCAGAAGCCTCAATGGGGGTAGTACTTCCAGTCAAAGCTGGAACAGCTATCCACTACAGTGTGGTAGAATATTATTTTAAGGTGTGTTACTTTTGTTTATGTTGCATTTGTTTAACTCTGTGAAGCTGTGTTACTTTGCCTGTCTAAACACCTGATGGTCTAATAAAGAACTGAATGGCCAACAGCAAGGCAGGAGAAAGGATAGGCGGGGCTGGCAGGCAGAGAGAATATATATAATGAGAAATCTGGAACAAGGGAAAAGAAGAACTAGCCAGAGAAGGAGGAGGACATCAGGGGCCAGCCACCCGGCTATACAGCAAGCCACAGAGTAAGAGTAAGATTTACAGAAATAAGAGAATGGAAAAAGTCCAGAGTCAAAAGATAGATGGGATATGTTTAAGTTAAGAAAAGCTGACTCCCATGGGAGGCCTATGGAAGGGAATGGGGGGCAGTTTGGGGGAGAGGAGGCTGGAAGGGCAGGAGGAAGGAAGAGGGGGAATCTGATTGTTATGTAAAATGAATAAAAAAGTTTGCTTAATTAAAAAAAAGAAAAGCTGACTAGAACTAAGCCAAGCTAAGGCCATGCATTCATAATTAAGAATAAGCCTCCATGTGTGATTTATTTGGGAGCTGGGTGCTGGCTCCCATAAGAGCAAAAACAAACAACAGCACATAAGGGCAGGCCACATGCTCAACAATAAATGGCCAGCACAAAATGTCCTCAGTGGGATTTTTGTAGATTTTTTTTGTTTCATATTGCCTTGTTTAGGCATTTTTTAAGTCTTACTGGTCTTTTGTTTGTATATTATGGCTTCCGATTTTGTATTTTCATGTGTTTTGTGTCATTGTTTGTGTTTTTTATTTGCCTACCTGTTTGTTTTCTAAAAAGAGACAGAAAAGGCATGGAGTTGGGTGGGTGGGGAGGTAGGGGGAATCTAGGATGGTTTGAGAAAGGGGAAACCATGATGAGAATATATTGTATCAACAAATCTTATTTTCAGTAGTGTATTTTAATTTAATCTTTTTTTGGGGGTTTTTTTTGGCATTTGTAACATCAGTTTTATTTTACTGTACTAATATACAGTTGTGTGTTTTCATAAGAATCACTGGTTTTATTTTAAAATTATATTTTCTTTTTGAGGAATACCTGGTAAGTTTTGTCTAATATTTCTAAGTGTTTTGACCTGTTTTAAAACATTTTCAGGTTATCTACCATTTTGCATAAATATAAATCTCATTTTTCATGCTTTTTTGTGGGAGGGTCAGATCTCACTTATGTAGCCCAGGTTGGTCCCCAAATCATGATATGTTCTTATAGTTCTCTTTCTTTCTTTTCCCTTTTCTACAAACACATAAATTAAATCTAATTTTATCTCTGTTGATATTCCTAGCAGTATAACTTAAAAATAAAAAGCACAAGTAGTCAACAATCAATCTCAGAGTTATTTAAAGGCATTCTTTTTTTGCTGCACTGTCCATAACAGGTTGACATGATTACCGAGAGCAGAACAGTGGGAACACAGACCTGAGTAAGATTCAGTGTTTGTATTTCACACTGATATGACCAATCCTTTAAGATATTTAACTTCTTCCAGCCTAATGTTCCTTACCAGAAAAAGGATTTCTTCTGAAGACATATGTGTGTCATGTGTGTACACATGTATCTCCCTCTCTTGCTATCCACCTAATTAGTTTTTGAGACAGGGTTTCTCACTGAATCTTGAGCTCCCCATTTCAGCTAGACTGGGTGAGTAGCAAGCCTCTGGGGTCCGCCTGTGTCCCCTCCCTCCTTCTGCTAGTGTTACAGACGCGCACTACCACAAAGGTGCCTGGCTGTGTGTGGGTGCTGGGATCTGCACTCAGGTCCTCTTGTTGCAGAGCAAGCACTTGACTCATCCAGCTGTCTTCCCAGGACCCTAAAGCACTTAAACAAAGTAAAACAAAACGAAACAAACAAAAACCCAGCAAGTATTTCATCAAGACTTGAATTCAGCAATCAGAACTCTGTAGATTTTTAATTCATCAATACTTGCATTCAGCAGTCAGGACTCTGTAGATTTTTAAAAACCACAGTCTTTCAAGATGACGAGTCTTAATGTGGGGTTGATGAGATGGTTCAGCAGGTAAAAGACTTGCTGTGTGATCCCAATGACTGAACTTAACTCCCAGAACCCACATGGAGGTGGAAGGAGAAAAATCAACTCCATGAAGCTGTCCTCTGACTTCCACAGCTGGGCTGTGCCATGTGTCTTTGTGCACACACACACTTAAAAATTCAACAAGAACCTTAATATATGTATAATATCTAACTATTCCTATCTCAGTTTATTTAACTGTGAAAACACTGTGGTCCTAGTAGGTGCCCAATAGAGTAAAAGAAACAAAAAATTTAGTTACAAATATTTACATGAATCAAACAATACATTATAGAAATCATACATTCTTACGTTCGTCTCTGAAGTAAGTCAATACATAACAAACAATACCTTGGCTTTTGGGGTAGCTTTAATTGTCCATATGCAATCAACTGCTTGGCCAGGCTTTGTTTTTTCTTGTTCTACCTGGCTAGAACGTATTATTCCATCAGCTCCTGAGAGCTCAAACTGGCAATCTCCAAGGTAAGTAAAGTCTGGATCTGGGATGAATGAGTATTTTGCTCGAAATCCTAGTCCTTCAAGTTCTTCATCAGAACTAAATTTAATCCACATGAATCTTCCTGTTGATCTAATTAATGCAGGGCTTTTCATGCCACAGTAACGGTCTATAAGAGGAGAGAAGCCAAACGGTCCATCTCGAACTTCCAAGTGATCAAACCGACATTCAAATGATGGCTCTATATAATAGCGTTCGTCAAAGGTCAGCTCTATTCGTTGACGAGGAGCAGCTTCCAAAATATAGATACACTCCTTGTTTGGCGGATATGAGTCAGGATAATTTGGTGAAGCAAAATGACCTCCATTGCTGGTTCGAACCCAAATGCCACACTGGGTTGCAGGAATGTGCTTGATCCCAATATTTTGTCCATCTTGGGTCTTTTGGGCCACAGCAATCCCTTCCACTACAAGTACTGTTACTAGCAACACTTTGAGGACCGCGCAGAGCTGCTCCAGGGCCATGTTCCTCAGCGTCGGCGCTCTGAGAGCGCCCGAGGCGGCGGCGCGGCGGTCAGGGCCCGGCGCGGTGTCTCCGCTCGGTCCCCATCGCCGGACGCCGCCGCCTCCCTGCAGCGGGCGCAGCGTCTCAGCCCGCCGTGCCGGGTCCCCGACGGCCGCCGCCTCCCGCCGCGCCGAGGACAGCTGGCGGCGCCCGCTCCCGCGGCGGGCTCCCTTGAAGTCTTTTTTTTTTTTGGTTTTTTGAGACAGGGTTTCTCTGTGTACCTTTGCGCCTTTCCTGGAACTCACTCTGTAGCCCAGGTTGGCCTCGAACACACAAAGATCTGCCTACCTCTGCCTCCCAAGTGCTAGGATTAAAGGCGTGCACTACCACCGCCCAGCTTAATCTTTTTAGAAAAGAATAATTTTGAGTGAGTGAGTAAAGTACATTGCCCTCCCTAATGTGAATGGACCTCAGTCTGAACAGACCAAAAAGAATAGCTTTCCAAGAGTAGGAATCAATTTTTACTGGGACATTAGCCCTTTTTCTGTTTCCTCTCAAATTACAGTCAAATAATCAAGTGATCCTAAATTTTGGGTTTGTCAGTTTTTGCTGTAGAAGTGTCTCATTGGAGCTCCTATGTCTCCAGCTTAATGGCACTTCCTGAAAATGGAGGAAGTTATCAATTTCTATATTGAATGAGCTAGTACTTTATTTAATAGATGCATATATTCATACATGTGTGCATATATTCATACATGTGTAAATATATACACACACGGACATATTGATAAAAACCTTACTTAGTTCATTTGGACTAGCACAAAAGAACACTGTAGACTGAGTGACTTCCTTTTTTTGGTGAACCATGAGGTTTTTTTTTTTTTTTTTTTTTTGGTTTTTCGAGACAGGGTTTCTCTGTGTAGCTTTGCGCCTTTCCTGGAACTCACTTGGTAGTCCAGGCTGGCCTCGAACTCACAGAGATCCACCTGGCTCTGCCTCCCGAGTGCTGGGATTAAAGGCGTGCGCCACCACCGCCCGGCGAACCATGAGTTTTATTGGGGTTACTTAGAGGAATATGGGTGAGGGGTGTGTAAGCATTGCAGCTTGGATGGAAAGGGATCGTGGCAGTTGGGAGCCAGAGTACCATAAAGTCACCTTAAGAGTAGCAGCTTGCAGCCCTGCTCCAGGGAAAAGTTGTTACAGCTCTGCTCAAGTCCCTGGAGTGTAACATCTCTGCTCTGCTAGGGGAAGGTTTCCCCAGCATTTTTAACAGCAGTCTAAAACAAACAAAAGCTGTTATCATTTTTTAATATGACCTTAAATATATTTTGCAGTTGTGAGGAGATACAAGAATACAGAATCACAAGCTCTGCTATTGGCTAGGTGGAGAGAAATTGTTGGGTTTTTTGTTTTTATATTTAATTTTAAGGTATATAATCAATTTATTTATATCTTAGTTACTGTTCTATTGCTATGAAGAGACATCATCACCAAGGCAACTCTTATTAAGGAAAGCATTTTATTGGGGCCTTGTTTACAGTTTTAGGGGGTTGGTCCATGATCATCCTGGCGGGAAGCAGACAGGCATGGAGCCAGAGCAGTAGCTGAGAGCTTTACATCCTAATCCAGAGGCAAAGAAAGAGATATTGGCCCTGATGTGGGCTTTGAAACTTTTTTTTGAAACATATCTCCTCCAAAAATACCACAACTCCTAATCATTCCCAAACAGTTCCACTAACTGGGGGTTTAGCATTCAAAAACAGGAGCTTTTAGGAGCAATTCTCATTCAAACCACCATAATTAATAAAGTGAATTTTTCTCCTATATAGCTGTTTGTATTTTTTCATTTATTCATTGAGAATTTTATATATTTGATTATATTTTTATAAGGAAAAATTTTCTTTCCTTTTACATACCAACCCCTGTTCCCTTCCCTCCTCTTCTCTTGCTCTCCCCCATCTGCCCCCCATTCTACCCCCATCCCCTCCTCATAGAGGGTAAGGCCTCCCTTGAGTAGTCAACACAGGCTGGCATACCATGTTGGGGCTGAACCTAGCCCCACCTCCTTGCATCAAGGCTGAGTAAAGCATCACAACATAGGGAATGGGCTCTGAAAAGTGAATTTGTGTACCCGGGGTAAGTCCTGGTCCCATTGCCAGGGGACCCACAAACACATCAAGCCATTCAAATTTCACCCATATTCAGAGGGTATACTTTGGTCCCATGCAGGCTCCCCAGCTGTCAGTCCAGAGGCTAGGAGCTCCCACTAGCTTGGGTCAGCTGTTTCTGCGGGTTTTCCCATCATGATTCTTACCCTCCTTGCTATTACAACCCTCTCTTCAACTGAACTCCAGGATCTTGGCCAAGTGCTTGGCTGTGGGTCTCTTCATCTGCTTCCATCATTTACTAAATGTAGGTTCTATGATGACAGTTAGGGTAGTCACCAATCTGAGCACATGGGAAGGCTAGTTCAAGTACCCTTTCCACCATTGCTATGAGTCTTAGCTGGGGACAATCTTGTGAGTCCCTAGCTGCAGATTTCTCCTAATCCCCTTAATGGTTCACTCTGTCAAGATGCCTTTCATTGCTCTCCCTCCCCATCTCTCCCTCATGTTCCCACATGTTCTTTCTCTCTCTTAAGAGCAAAACCAAAAATAATGGGGTCTGATTCTGTTGGCCATTGAGTATAGGGCCTGTCCTGGAGCATGATTGAATCCAGTGTTATTCCATAGAATAAAACTGATTCTTCTGCTTCCATCAGATATCAATTACAAATATCTTCTTGCCTAGGGGTAAGCTTCCCCCTTCCTTGGTAGGATTTTGTCTGGCTTGAGCTTTTATAGGTCTTATGCAAGTTGTTGCAGTCTCTGTGAGTTATTATGTGTATCTGCCCTGTTGTGTCTTGAAAATTATGGTTCCCTGCAATTCTTAACCATCCCTGCTCTTAAAATTGTTCTTCATCCTTTTCTGCATAGATCACTGAACCTTAAAGGGAGGGGTATGATAAAGACATCCTATTAGGGATGACTGCCCCAAAGTTTCTTACTCTCTGCACATTATCCAGCTGTGGGTCTCTGTATCTGGGTGATATTAATGCATATTTTTCTCCTCTGATAGTGAGTATAGCACCTTACAGCACTGTGAATGATAGACAGTAGGGGCAAAGCTTCCCGTTAGAGTACCAGTCAGAAATCTATATGTTCTATATCATCAAAGAGTATTGGTTTTAGATGAAATCAGATCGGGGTTTTGTCCATGTCCTATCACTTAGCATCATCATCAAGAACTTAAATAATTGTAAGTTCTTCATCAACAAAGTGAGTAAAGCTTATCTTGTAAAACTATGATAATACATGTAATATTTGAAAACACTCAAAGCTAGGCTGGAGAAATGGCTCAGCTGTTATGAGCATTTGCTACTCTGGCAGAGAATCCAGGTTCAATTCCCAACATAGCATTTGTAAGTTCCATGCCATAGGATTCTGCACCTTCTTCTGACCTCCATGCACATCAGGCTTGCACATGGTGCATACACATATATGCAGAGGAAACACTAATTCACATAAAATAAAAATAAATAGTTTTGTAAAATACGTGCTGGCTGCTGGGCAATGGTGGTGCATGCCTTTAATCCCAGCACTCAGGAGGCAGGGGAAGGTTGATCTCTGTGAGTTCAAGGTCAGCCTGGTCTGGTCTACAAAGCAAGTTCCAGGACAGACTCCAAAGCTACCCTGTCTCAAAAAACCAAAACCAAAAAGAAAAAAAAAACACATGGAGGCTGTGGCTTTTAAATGATGTAATTCATTTCTTATTATAACACTAGACAATGCTGCCAGCAACCTTGACTTTTTAAAAATGTCAGTATATATAAAAATATGTAACACCTTGGACAAAAATAAATGAGTTGCAAATAGAACTGCAGCAATTCTTCTCATGTGAGTCTGTCATTTCATTAATTTTGGGGGAATTTCCATGAGCTGAATAAAACTTGAAAGTCATAGTGTTTACGAAAATTTGACACTCAGATACCTGCAGAAACAAACCACTCCCTTTTTCATTCATTTGATCACTACTGAAATGAGTTCACCACACTGTATCCAAGGTAACCTAATTATGAAAATGTCTCATTTAATGAAATGGGCTCTAACCTCTGAGCCCAGTGAAGAGTACAATCATCATAGCTCTGTGACATCTCTTGTAGGAGATTATCACATTTCCTTCAGAAACGTCTTGCAGGTGATACCTTTTTCCAGCTATGCTCACTTGTGTATAAAGATTAGAGAACTTACATTCTTGGCCCAAGTGAAGATGTCCTCTGGTTTATTCATAACCCCAAAGTAAATGTTAATTATTTTTTCCAGCCCAGCTTTTAGTTTCTTAACTCTAAAACGAATAACCTCCTTAATCCTTTATTCATATGTTCATAGTCTCATGTGACCCACTATCACATTTAGTATGATATAACCTCTGTTTTAGATACATTGCAGTTTCCAAATGCTTCAAATTGCCTGGCTTCAGGTTACCTACACAAAACTCTTTTATCTGGAAACTTCTGTATTCCTCATTACATCATTTTATATTTATTTATTTAGATCATAGCATTTCACCACTTTTCTACTAAAATATCACACAAAGAGTCAACAGACTCTATTCTACAGACTCTATTGTATGCATTTTATTAATGTTGGAGTACATTTAGGTTTCCTAGTGGCTTTACCAAGCAGGTCTGCATAGAGAGGATGATTGAATCATGGGCCTGAGTACAGGTGTCTGAGATGGTCTGCACTTGGCTGTGCTGGGGGGAGGTCTTTTGCTCCACCCACTGGCATTCTTTTAAATCTAGTTATACTGAACCTGATAGAAGAGAAAGTAGGAAGTCGCCTTGAAAGCATTGGCACAGGAGACCACTTCTTAAATATAACACCAGTAGCACAGACACTGAGAGCAACAATTAATAAATGGGACCTCCTGAAACTGAGAAGCTTCTGTAAGGCAAAGGACATGGTAAATAACACAAAATGACAGCCTACAAAATGGGAAAAGATTTTCACCAACCCCATATCTGACAGAGAGATGATCTCCAAATATAAAGAACTCAAGAAACTAGACTTCAAATTACCAAACAATCCAATT